CAGAGCAGGCACTCGGGGCCCTCTTGGGGTGGAGGGGGTCCTCTAGGGGGAGGCCACAGCTTACGAGGCTTTCAGCCTGCAGGTGTCCGGAAGGGGGTGCCCCGGGCTCTGGAGATCTAGCTCAGTGACAAGAAGAATCTAGAAAGCAGAGAAGTAACCACGGGACACTGAGTGCTCGCAAGAGTGGCTGCGGTTTGTCACAATCCCTGGAGTGCTCTGCTGGCTCCTTAGTAGTCAGGGCAAGGGTGCCAAAACTCCTGCCCAGGGCGGAGCAGTCCTGTAATCAGAGCATTTGCTGTCCAGTGTCAGTGGCTCAACTGACGCACTTAAAACTACGTCGGTACCAGTAGGAGAATTTCTGCGTGGTAAACGTTTGTAGAAAAAAAAACAGTTTGTAGAAAATGTCATTCAAAAGGACTCATCTGGTGCTTTTTGAGGCTATGTAGTGTTTTTTGTTTTGTTTTGTTTTGTTAGTGGTTCTACTTTCCACGGGTCTGGTAGTTTTGAAAAGTCTAAATCAAAATTTTGTAAATAAAACCATCTCAGAATGTCGTATGCTATTTTATAATAATGGGGATTATGCTTATAGAGCACCGACTGTGTCCCAGCACTGGACCTAGTGTTGTACTTAGAGTGTCTCATGCCCTTTATGTCCCAAGAAATAACTTGTCTTCGTCCACCCCTTCTGGGCATTGAACCCAAGGCCTTGGTACTCAGCTAATTTCCAGCCCACGTTTTCTTTTAAAATTTTTAATTTATGAGTACATATTTGGAGTTCATGAAGTTTACAGTCATCTTGGGGAGTGCTTACATGTACATGCCACAGCTTGCTTGCTTGCTTTCTTATCCTTTTCCCAACCCCCTAGCTCACTTTATTTTGGGACAGGGTGCCATTAAGATGCGCAGGCTTGACTCAAACTTGTGATCTTCCTGTCTCAGCCTCCCAGAGTGTTGGGATTACAAGTCTGCATCAAGAGGCCTGGCTAGTAGCTGATATTAAATACTTTACAGATTTAGAAATAAAGGCTTTGTTGATTAAGTAATTTACCCAAAGTGAAACATAAGCATAAGTTATTAGGGAACAGGGAAAAGTCTCCAGCAACTGTAAGGAGGAAACATTGTACAATAAAGCTTTGTGGTAGGAGTGTTTAATTGGTAACAAAAAAGAAATATTTTTAAAAGGGAGGAGTCAAGAGAATTTTATTCATTCATTCCTTTGCTTAGAGGCAGGGTCTCCCCATATGTAGTCTAGTCTGGCCTTTGACTCACAATGTAGTCTAGGCTGGCCTCAAATTAGTAATTCTACCTCAGCCTCTTGAATGTTGGGATTACAGCTACGCACCACCACACCTGGTTTATTTATTTTTAAAATTTATTGTTTTGTAGTATTTTGTCATTTTATTTTATTTTTGTGGTGCTGGGGCTGAACCCTGGGCTTCATGCATGCTAGGCAAGCACTCTACAGCTGGGCTATATACCTAGCCAGAGAGAATATTATTTTAAAAATTTAATATCTTAGGGAAGGAACCAAAATGACCATAGATGAGTGAATGATGGATGAATGGATAAACAAAATGTGGACTATACATGTGAAGGAATATTACACAGCTTTGGAAAGGAAGAAAGTCCTGTCATCTGCTACAGGGTAATGACCTTTAAGGTCATTTTGCTAAGTGAGATTAAACCAGTCACAAAAGACTAATTTCACTGAAGGAAGTTTCTAAAATAGCCAAACTCATGGAGACAGTAATAGAATGGTGGTTGCCAGGGCCTGGGAAAGGGGAAAATGGGGAGTTTAATGGTTATAGAGTTTCAGTTTTACAATATGAAAAATACTTAGAGATCTGTTACACAATGTGGATATACTACCGAATTGTACACTAAATCACAATGAAAAATATTAAATACTTGAGTTGTACTAGGGAAAAAATAGAATTTTAAGACTCATACTTGAGTTTCAGATGAATAAATTTGCTACACAAGCGGTGGTCAAAATATAGAGTGACTATAAATTTATTACAGTAAAGGACACATGGCCATTAAACCCCCTTAAAATACTCCCCTTGTTTCAGACATGCTCATGCCATTGTTCTTGCCACTTTCTGAAGCAGTTCTGGAAGTTCCGTTTCACAGGTGTCTTTAGGAGGTCTAATTAAAAAAAGGTGAATGCTGTTGCTGAGTCCCATCCAACAGAAAGGCTGTACAAACATTATGGTGTGTCCTCCCTCATCCACATTCACCAATCTGGCACCCTGTGACTTCTGGCTTTTCCCCAAAGTCAAATGACCATGAAAGGTAAATGTTTCAGTCAAATCAGGACATCAAAGTGGCTGTGACAGTGCCACTAACCCAAAAGATAACTCCCAAAACAGCTTCAGAAAGTAGAAAGATTGATGGGATAAGTGTATTTGAAACATGGGGGAGTATTTTGAGGCAGATTAAGAGTAGTGTATCTTACTGTATAGAGCTTTTTCTTTTTGTTTTATTGAGTACAGGGTCTGGCTATGTAGTGCAGGCTGGCCTTGAACTTGTGGCAATCTTCCTGTCTCAGCCTCCTAAGTGCCACCATATCCAGCTAAGTTAGAAGGTTCTTTTTAAAAAAGGTTAAATGTTCATTCACTCTACTTTTCAATCCTACCTCATTGTGGCCTGTAACAGTCAACACCCCCACCCCCCACCAACTTGTGTGTAATTGTCATTAACATTGCTTGGTTCTTTTTTTGGTACCAGGGATTGAACTTTGGTCCTTGTGCTTGGCAGCAGGCGGCAAAACCACTGAGCTAAATCCCCTGCCCAACACTGCTTGGTTCGTTTACTGCCCTTTCAGACCTTTTCCACTCCTCAAACCTTTAACCTCCAACTGATTAGTAGAGAAAATAGGAGCCAACAGGCATGAGGCTCTAGCTCTGAACTACATCTCAAGCCCCAGCTTCTCTCTTCTTAATGTGTTCTCACTTTTTGTCTCTTGAATTTAATAGTGGTTCTGCCCATGCATGTCCACGTGTGTATGCTGGGGATTAAACCTATGGCCTCAGGGCATATGAAGCATGTGCTCTACCACAAGGTGTACTCCTACCCTGGTTGTGGGCCTCTCCCCCGCCCCTTAAAGGGGTATTAATCTAGGGCCTTAGTGCAGAGGTACATCACCAATCCCCCCTCCCTACTTTTTATTTTGATACAGGATCTTGCTAAGTTGCTAGTTTCCAAGGCTGGGTTTGAATTTGTGATCCTCCTGCTTCAGCCTCGCAGAGTGGTGAGTTTACAAGTGAGAACCACCACACCAACTAATTGTGACCTTCCTGAAGATGAGGATAGTAGCCTGGTGTGGTGACACACACTCTGGGGGGTTACAGCAGGAGGCTCCTGAGTTTGAGCCTGGCCTGTGTAAATTAGCAAGATCTTGTCTCCAAATAAATCTGAGTATTTTCCTAATCCTGCTTTTTTTTTTCTTTTTTTAAATATTAGGGAGGGAAGGCAAGGCAGTTACTTGTGTTACATGCCTACGATATGGCAGGTTTGTGTAGTGCATTTTACCTAGTTTTTCTCATTTAAAAGCATCATTCTTAGGAGACATGATGATCCTCTTTTGTATGAAAGGAAACTGAAAAGCAGTTCTTTAAAAATCAATCAAGAAAAGGTTCTTTTCCTCAATTTAGGCCCCATAACTAAAAAGGTGATAAGACCAGTTTCAGTTGATATGCCCATTTAGTCAGGATTTATTTGATTTTATATTAAGTTTGTTTATATTAAGAATTTCCAAAACAGTCCTTTTATATTTTTGCTTTCTATTTGTAACTTCTTGTATTAAAAAGTAGCCACAAGTGTAACATCTGTAGACAGTAACTTACATTATTTTCCCAATGTTTTGTTTGATGCTGGTTTTGTTTCTTTTTCCTTTAAGCTGCTAGTCTCTGGGGTCCTTACAAAGACATTTGGCAGACAGTGGGAAATGCTCTTTGGAGAAGACAACCTGAAGCTGTCCACCTTCTGGACATGATTTTGAAGAAACACAGACCTGACTTCATCTCATTGTTCAAAAACCCAGTAGGACATTTTCTTCTTTGCTTCTTAGATTTACCTTTTTGGGTTTTTTTAAGGGTTAAAGGGAGAAGTAAACTCTTATATTTAATATATGTAAATAAAATGTTACTTGGCCTTTTCCAGTGATTCACATTTTCTTTTAAAATGTGACTTTCCTGGGAGCAGTTATTGTCTATTGAATTTGTCTTTAGATAAGAGATAAACTTAAATCATGTTTAAAGATAACTTAGGAAATTTAGTATGTTCCAGAAATACTAGCTGTCTTAGAATTTCTGACCTACAGTTAATATAATACGCCCAGGTGGCCTTGAACTGGTGGCAATCTTTCTGCCTCAGCCTCCCAAGTGCTTGGATTACAGGTGTGCGCCGCCATGTTCTGATTAACATTTTAAGGTTTAATATTTTTAAAAAGCCCTAAAAGATTTTTTTTACTTGCTAAGTTGCTAAATTTTTAATTTTTGTTAGTACATGTTTTTGGTACTAATTTTTAAAAAGATTTTATGTTCTATCAGGTAATTTTGTGTTAAATACCATTTGTTAAATATCTGAATCAAAGAATCTTAGTCCAATTTTTAATATCTATGAACTGATTCATTCTGCTAAGTAATTCAATTCACATATCCATTTGTTATTTCGCACTTGAAGACCTTACTGTATTTATTTATTAAGTATATAATTGGAAAAATTCCTTGGAAACTTGAAAAATAGAATGCTATTTTGTGTGTTTTCTCTTAATTTTGAAGTTCATAGTTTAGCAGAAAGTTTACTGGAAAGTAGTATTAGGATGAAAAGTTGAAGGTAATGCAAAACGTTACTTCATAAAGGTCTAATTCTGGATTATCTGTTAAGAAATAGTTGGATTTATTGTTACCAGTTTGCATTATCAAGAATAAAGTTCTGTAAGTACCACTGTAGGAAATGGGTTCCAGTCTGCTATTTTCATTACTTGATTATAATTTTATTATTCCAGCCAAAAAATGTTCAACAGCATGAGATGATTCAGAAAGCCAGTATTGAAGGAGTTGCCATCCAGGGTCAACAGGGAACCCGACCTCTTCCTGAAAAGCTCATTAAAGAAGCCTTTATTCTCAGCGACCTTTTTGATATTGGAGAATTAGCAGCTGTTGAGCTTCTCCTTGCTGGTAGGTTGACATTTAACTGAAACTACAGTAAGGTCGTGCTGAATTATAAAGTTATGTGCTTATAGTTTAAAATACTATATTGTTTAGATTCCAAAGTAGCTTCTAAGGATATAAATTATTTGACAGGTGTAGATAATTGACAACAGCATATTCAAAATTTTTCCTTTTGCATACATTTGATTAAGGGGAAGGCTTCAGCTTCGTGATCAGAGTAGTAGTTAATTGAACAGCTTTTAGGTAGGCTTTTCAATGGTAATGTACTAGAAATCCAGTGCATTAATTCAGGTTTATGCGTGATTCAGCTATGGACTAGAGGGAAGGATTAGTTAGCTTGCCCTTGGGATTGTGCAGAGAACTCTTCGCAAAGATGGTAAGGTTAAGGTAAGTGCTGCAAAATGAGTAGGCGTATGTCAGGTGGAATGGGGATGCTTAGAGGACAAAGGCCATTAGCAGAAAAAGTTGCTTGTATGAGGGGGACAGCAAGGTGAGGGATTTGGGGAACCAAAGGGACTACAGTGGAGTAGTGATGGGGTAAGGAGAGAAGGGAACTGTAGGAGACTAACTGAAACTGTAGCAGGGTGTGCGAAACAAAACAAAGTGGGATGCATTCAAGGAGAGCAGGTTTGAGTGTGAATGACCATGAAATGAAAAAGGTCTTTTCAGAAAAGACTGGAAGAAGAAATTTCCAGCTATTTCAATGATTTCATGTGAGCAAAAGCAAGGGCATTGAATAAAATTGGATTCAGTAGACAAGAGTGGGACCAAAAGATTCTCACCTAGCAAAGGAAATCAGGTGAAAGTGAAATTTAGAGTTTGAAAAGATTGAATGTTGTGTTACTGTACCGCATGGGTTAGATGGCCCTTTGTGTGCATTGTTCACGGAGTGAACTGGGAGGTTGAGAGATGGGTGTTTGAAGCTCTTCAGACCTTTCAACTGAGATTCTGTGATTCCTTGAACTGAACATTGGTATAGTGATTTTTATCTCATCTTAAACACACTGTGATTGTTGACTACATTATTTCTCACCGTTCTTACCTAGGAGAGCATCAACAGCCACATTTTCCTGGCCTCACCAGAGGATTAGTAGCTGTTCTTTTGTACTGGGATGGAAAGCGATGCATTGCAAATTCCCTGAAAGCCTTAATACAGTCTAGACAAGGCAAGACATGGACTCTAGAACTCAGGTCTGCTTGTTTCTTGGGATTTCAGGTTAATTTGAAATTATTTGAAGAATTACAATCTTAGAAATAACACAAGTTTCCAGTTAGTATATACAATTTCAGTAAAGTGTGTAACATGCTGAGTAATATACACCCTATCCTTCAATATGACGTAACAGTTTAAACCTTTATTTTGTTTACAAGTAAATCATTATGTTTAGAAGGTTACTGAAGCTCATTGATCCTAGAATAAAAAAAAGAAGGTTGTAATTCATCCTGCTTTTTTTCAGTAATGTGTAATTGTCAAAAGAGCATTTGCTATGTCAGTTATTGTGAGGAATTATAAGCATTATTGTTCAATACAGTTTTGTTTATTTCTTTTCATTACAGCCCAGAGCTGATTTCCATAACAACACGCTTTACAGATGAGCTGATGGAGCAAGGACTGACTTACAAAGTTCTTACTCTGGTGTCACATATTGATGTAAATAACGAGTTTGAGAAACTACAGCGAGACAGAGGTCTGGGCAGTGAAAAACATCGCAAAGAGGCAAGGATTCAGTGAGATGAGTTCATAGGTTACATCAGATCTCAGGCAAAAAAAGTCATGACGTGAATATTCTTATTATATAGGCAAAAGAAAATTAATAATGCATTTCAAAGTATGTAGTTGGTTGTGTCCATGAAATTGATTTGAGATTATTTCAGTTTCTCTGTAGTCGTTTATGTGCCATTCTAGCTCTTTAAGGATGTACTCTTCAAGGAATTGTCATCCCAATTTCTAAAGGAGATAAAGGATGAAGAACAAACAGTAGGATTTGTTCAGAATCCCAGAGATGAGATTTTAGGATCACTTGAGAATTCATGTTCGTAGGTTTATTTTGTTAGGCTCTATAAATAGTAAGCTTGCATTTTGTAATAAGACTGGATTTCATTATAATTTATTTCAACTGATTTATCGTATATTTTTATTTCTAGGTTTCTGATCTCATCAAAGAGTGCAGGCAGTCTTTGGCAGAAAGTCTTTTCGCCTGGGCTTGCCAGTCTCCGTTAGGCAAAGATGACACCCTCCTCCTTATTGGCCATTTGGAGGGAGTGACAGTGGAGGCCAATGGTTCTCTGGATGCGGTGAATCTGGCTCTTCTTATGGCACTTCTGTACTGTTTTGACATCAGTTTTATAGAACAAAGCACAGAGGAACGAGATGGTACTGATTTTATACCTTTAATTTATATATATA